TTAAAGAAAGACTTTCTATTTAAACTAAAAATAAAATTTTATTTATTTTTGTTCAATTTATAATCGCAGACATGAAAAGTCACATACAACATATGGGAAGAATGTCTGTAATAACCTTGACTGCTTATATTTTAGCTAAAACTTGAAAAAGTGTGCAAAAATTTCATAAAATATGTCACGTTTTGACATTTTAATTTCATAGGTTGTGTAGAAATTATTGCAGTCAAAACGTAGTAAACTGTGTTACGGAATTCAAAGTCATATTGAATCGATGATAATAACAGAACTGAAAAACTTTTTAATCGGGTTTTGATAGAGTTAAATGATAATCTAATCTTTGTAATCCCTCTACACGTAGGACCCGTTTTAAAGACAATCGAAGAGTCAACTACTCGCCAGTAGCGATAATCCAGCAACTTTAATATGCCTTCGCTAGTATATTCCTCCGCTTAGGCCACTGACCACTGCTCTGGGATGATACTTGTTCATTCGACAACAACTATATAAAAGTCTGGTAGCTTAAGCAATGGTCCCAGCAAAATCTTTGCTTACAATGTTTACCATTAAGTACTTTATTAATGACTTACTTTGTATGTAAAGTCTAAAAAAAATCAAAATAAAGAAACAAACAAACATAAAACAGTTACTTTTTCTTTTTTTTTCCTTTTTTGTGCACACGATATCAAATATCTATTTTTAGACAAACAGAAAATAAAATAGTATTTGTGTGTGAAAACTATTATTTGACGCACAATAAAACAGCTAAGCAGTGGTGTAGTGAGTGGAGCATCCAACTGGTAGACGGAAGGTATTGAGTTCAACCCCAGTCTGTGTTGACTTTTTATTTTTATTTTTTCATAAATATTCTATAAATAACTCTACTAAAAAAACAACTTATTTCCAACCAAATAATATTGACTTACTTTTGGAACATCTCAAACAAAAATAAGTACTTTTTTCTAGTAGAATTGTAAGCACTTTACTCGATGAATTTCTGGTGATTTTTCTAGTGAATTTGTAAGCAAATATTTGCTGGGGGTGCTACCCTTTTTAAATTAGATTTAAAATTTAATATGTATTAAGTTATGAGTACTCAGCCAAAAAAAAACAAAAACTTAGTAACGGTCATTTAATTGTAACCTCTTACTTATGACCACAAACAGCGCAGAATAGTAGTTAGTTTAGTTAGTTAGTAGTAGTTATTTTAGTTAGTTAGTTTTAGTTAGTAGTTAGTTAGTAGTAGTTAGTAGTTGTTAGTTAGTTAGTAGTTAGTTTGTTAGTTAGTTATTTAGTGTAGTTATTATTTTTAGTTTATTTATTTAGTTTAGTTGTTATTAGTTTTTTAGTTAGTTTTCAGTTAGTTTTTTATTAGTTAGTTTTAGTTAGTTATTAGTTAGTTAGTAGTTAGTTAAGTTAGTAGTTTAGTTAGTTAGTTAGTAGGTTAGTTAGTTAGTTGTTATTATTGTTAGTTATTTTTTAGTTTTAGTTAGTTTTGTTAGTTGTTCGTTCGGTTTTCGTTTTTCGTTCGTTCGTTCGTTCGTTCGTTCGTTAGTTCGTTCGTTCGTTCGTTCGTTCGTTCGTTCGTTCGTTTCGTTCGTTCGTTCGTTCGTTCGTTTCGTTCTTCGTTCGTTCGTTCGTTCGTTCGTTCGTTCGTTCGTTTCGTTCGTTCGTTTCGTTCGTTCGTTCGTTCGTTCGTTCGTTCGTTCGTTTCGTTCGTTCGTTCGTTCGTTCGTTCGTTCGTTCGTTCGTTCGTTTCGTTCGTTCGTTCGTTCGTTCGTTCGTTCGTTCGTTTCGTTCGTTCGTTCGTTCGTTGTTCGTTCGTTCGTTCGTTCGTCGTTCGTTTCGTTCGTTCGTTCGTTCGTTTTCGTTTTCGTTCGTTCGTTTCGTTCTTTCGTTCGTTCGTTCGTTCGTTCGTTCGTTCGTTCGTTCGTTCTTCGTTCGTTTCGTTCGTTCGTTCGTTCGTTCGTTCGTTCGTTCGTTCGTTCGTTGTTCGTTCGTTTCGTTCGTTCGTTCGTTCGTTCGTTCGTTCGTTTCGTTCGTTCGTTTTCGTTCGTTCGTTTCGTTCGTTCGTTCGTTCGTTTCGTTCGTTCGTTTCGTTCGTTCGTTCGTTCGTTCGTTCGTTGTTCGTTCGTTCGTTCGTTCGTTCGTTCGTTCGTTCGTTCGTTCGTTCGTTCGTTCGTTCGTTCGTTTCGTTCGTTTCTTCGTTCGTTCGTTCGTTCGTTTAGTTCGTTCGTTCGTTCGTTCGTTCGTTATTCGTTAGTTCGTTCTTCGTTCGTTCGTTCGTTCGTTTCGTTCGTTTCGTTCGTTCGTTCGTTCGTTTCGTTGTTCGTTTCGTTCGTTCGTTCGTTCGTTCGTTCGTTCGTTCGTTCGTTAGTTCGTTCGTTCGTTTTCGTTCGTTCGTTCGTTCGTTCGTTCGTTTCGTTCGTTCGTTCGTTCGTTCGTTCGTTCGTTCGTTCGTTCGTTCGTTTGTTCGTTCGTTCGTTCGTTCGTTCGTTAGTTAGTTAGTTAGTTAGTTAGTTAGTTAGTTAGTTAGTTAGTTAGTTCGTTAGTTAGTTAGTTAGTTAGTTAGTTAGTAGTTAGTTAGTTAGTTAGTTAGTTTGTTAGTTAGAAAAAAATGTTTCCATTATTAGAAGACTACTTTCGGTCTCGTAATGATAGCGCCTAATTTCGGTTATAACGCTAATGTTCACATGATTTCATTTTCACATATTTAACACACATAACACACTAACAGAGTCTGTCCCACAGTGCAATATGATTCTATTAAATAATTTAAATTTAAATCACTGTTCTTAATGATTAATATTTAATTTGCAAAAAAAAAAAATTAAGGGAATATGAAGGAATCTAATATGGCCTTCCATTAAATTAAAACCTTTTAATTTGTTCAAAAATGGAATTAAGAATTTAATTTTAATATAAGTACTACAATATTTTATACACATTTTAAGCCAATTAATTTGATTTTTCAACTGCAGCTTGTAGCTTCCATTATCAATCAGAATTGCTTTCGTTATGTCAACTGAGTCTAAAGTTCAAACGCTTCCAAAAACTCATCATGTTTGTTAAATAAACAAACGAACGAAATAAAAATTGTAAGAAATATAAAGAAATACATACTATATTTATTACATTTGTAAGTGTAACTTTATCTAGACAATTTGTTAACAAAAAATCTTAAATATGTGTACGCGTGCCCCAATAAATATTCGTTCAATCAGAACGTTGATAATGGGAAATGCGCAGCAAACACTCAGCAAATAAAGCCCTTTTCTTCCATAAAATTTTAAATGAAAAAGAAATTCAAATGCACTGATAACATAAGTACCAAGTATCAGTACAATTTGAACAAGTTCACCTACATTTCACTCGTTTTGTTTTCATTTCATGTGAATATGAATTATTATATATTTAATGCATTTATATTTTCATTCATTTTAATCTCTATTTACTAAAGAGAAATAGAAAAAAATGTTTTATTGACTGTGATTTGATACCATTTTAAGCTTTTGACGGTAATAGAAAGAGGCGCGGTGTTGAAACTTTCTTAAAATAGAAAATAAATAAATATTTAGAATTATAATTAGAAACCTACAATCAAGATATTGCAACATACAGCAAGTGGCGTGTATGAGAGTTTGTAAGAATGTAAATGAAATAAAAAAAATTAAATTAATGAACATACATACATTTGAATGTATGTATTTGTGTTTTAAATCAAAAAAGATTATACTGTTTGCAACGAATTTTTATTTCGCTGCAAAATGAATACTTTCTGAAAAAGAGTGTAAAGGAATATTCGATTTTAAAATTGGCATTCGACAGATTTTATTTTCTAGGATAAGGAATTAGAAAGGGGAGCTACAGGTGATGTGAAACAGATTTCGAATTCTTTTTTGATTTGTTTCGAAATTAGTTCCTTGTATTTCGTATTGACTCTGGACAAGGGGTCGGCTGGTTAATATTGTTATGTAATAAATATCCCAGGCACAGTGATGTCCTTTGGAGAAAGTATTTACAGCTCACAATAATTAGAAAAGAGTAAATGGTTAAACTACTTCTATGTAATCAAGAAGTAATGGAGTATTTATTGAAAAGCATCTTGTTAAGTAAGTCATTAACGAATTTTTGGTAAGATATTCTGCAAGATGCAATGGGAATTGAATGGTCTCCCTAACAAGATGTTTCAACCAAATCTTAATAAAATCTCAATAAAGTTACAACCAACACGACAAAACAAATATGCCCACGATTTACACAGAAGTATGTTTATATAAAAATGAAAAATAAATAAAATAAAATGATAACGGACGTATTACGCACGAGGCAACATTATAAAAAAATACAATTTTTTATAACAAAACAAACAATACTATAAAATGCATTTCAGCGGAGAGTCATGGAACGGGGGGGGGCCTATACTATTTATACAAAACTAAAAAATGGAAATTAATTTGATAAGCAAGCCCCCAAAACCGTAAGAGAGGTGGCCAAGAGTCGGAGAGACGAACGAGCGCATACGACTTTCAATTGAATGTTAAAAATGTAAACAGAGAGTCGATAAAGTTTGAGTTAATTTATGGTTGAAAAAGCCAACTACAACCAAATGATTGATAGCCATAAAATAAAAAATAAACAAAACTTGTAAAAAAAATCCGATGCAACAGAATTATTAAGTTCGAAGTTGCATCAAACTGGTTGTAAACCAACTCAGATTTAATTTAATTCAAGCTTTGCCTGAAGAGTATATAAAGAAATGTAAAAAAAACTGATCACAAGACCGGTTTGAAGGTTTTATTTCAGTTGCATACTAACTCATGTTCCCTCTCACCATCTCACTCATACTAATCTGCTCGCATTGAAGTGCTCATTTACTCAAATTAATTTTGATTGGGGATTTTTTTGTGTTTCGTTCGTCGTCGTGTATTGAATGCTGAACTGATATGCTGAGAAACGTAGGTTTAAGGTTTGCTAAGAATGACTTGTGCTTAGATCGAACACTTCGCACGATCACGGCGTACAACATCGATCGTGTGATCGGTTGTTATAAAAGTCGCAAGGACATAACGACGAGACATTAGTCGAAATCTATAAACGCAACGCGCGAAGTCGTCTACTCTCTACACTGCGTAAAATAAATAAATTTTTAAAAAATTTTACAAACCAAAAAAAAATTTATAAGAAAAAAAAATAAATTAAACAAATATTTTCGTGAAATATTTAGAAATAAAATAAAGAATTTACAGAAAATTAAATAAAAATTTTTAAACAAAGTTTCAAATACAAACACTATTTTTTACATACAAATGAATAAAGTGCAAAGTTTAAAAAATCCAAAAGCTAAAATAAATAATTTAAATTAAATTAACAGAAAAAAAAGAAATCCTTAAAATTTTATAATAATGAAAACTTTTACAAGTTGTTAACAAAACAAAGGAAATTACAAAATAAAACATTACAAAATTTCTAAAAAGGTTTAAAAGCTTTAAATACATTTAACAAAAAAAAAAAACAGAAGAAAGGAAGAAATTAACTGCCTTAAAATGATGACCGATTCGTATATAATAAAACTTTTGGTGCGCCAATTTAAAACCAACGACATGCAACATTTACTAATGGTTTTCATAACCATTCTAACCGCCATTAGTTTCCTGCAATGGCTGGTAAATTTGTATCGTGAATTGCGCAAATTACCACCCGGTCCTTGGGGCTTTCCTGTCATCGGTTATCTGATGTTTATGGGCAATGAAAAACACACACGTTTCATGGAATTGGCCAAGAAATATGGTTCTCTATTTTCCACCCGTTTGGGCAACCAATTGACCGTGGTGATGAGTGATTATAAAATGATACGTGAATGTTTTCGCCGGGAAGAGTTTACCGGTCGTCCAGATACACCATTTATGCAAACTTTAAATGGATTTGGTAAGTGTTTTAAAAATGAATATAAAAAAAATTATTTTTTGTATTTTAACGTTTAATAGAGGATTTCTGCTAGAATATTCAATTTTGAAAAGGAAAAAGGTTTTAAATTTTTGGAAACTTAAAAAAAGAGATTTATTGATTTTTTTTTAGTCAATTTTAGTTAAAATTAAGAAAATATTTTATTAAACTATTTTTCAAAAAATTTTTATTAAATTTTTTTATTAAAAAAGTTTATTAAATTTTTTTATTAAAAAAGTTTATTAAATTTTTTTATTAAAATTTCTAATTTGGAACTTGTGAGATAGTTTAGAAAGAAGTATTTACAATCAAAATATAAACAATAAAAAAATTCTAGTCAAATATGGTTTAAAAGAAACCCTGCAAATCTAATTTCTTATTTTTATGTTTAAAATATGTTAAAAACCAAAATATTACTAAAATTTACGACCTTGTCGAAAATCCCAATCCGTCGGTCTTTTTAAATTAAAAAATAAATACTGAACTTGAGAAACTGAACATTTTTAGTTTAACATAAGTCAGCAGCTTAAAGCTCTGGTCTTCGCCTTTCAGAGGGCGTAACCACTTCCTGATATGTATTCGAAAAATGCTTTGATTTCTTTCAATTTTATTAAAAATTTTATTGACCACTTCTATGTTCATCATTACGATTTTATTGTTTTCTCTACAATTATTGTTTTTGTTTATACTTTTCTTTTACCAGTTTTTCGTTTAAACAATAAAAACCGTAAAACAGAAATTGCAGCTGTTACAAAAATAACAATTTAATTACTGTTGCACATTTAACAATTTTAAGGTAAAATCGTTTAACCAACATTTAAACACATACACACTCTCTTTAAACCAATTAACTACTTAAAATAATTTCATTTAAAATATTTTAAAAATTTTTTTACCAAAAACCAACAATTTTTTCTTTAACTCTTACACACACACACAGCAGTTTTTTGTTAATTTTTTTGGTTTTTTTCCTTGACCAGAGTAAAATAAAAGAAAAATTTACAAAAATTAAATAAATAACAGAAAATAATCACGTTTTTATTGTTGTTATTGTGGTTGTTAAAAAATAAACTTTTATTGTAAAGTTGTTTTAAAAACAATTAATTTCTTTTACATTTTTTGTATTTTGCACTCTGATAAAGTTTTTTTTTATTGAAAAAAAGTGAGGAATTTTTTCGTCTGTATTTTTTTTAATTGTTGTGTAAGTGTTTGTATAAGACTTAAAGTAGGTTAATTTTGAGATTTTTTTATTTAATTTTATATTTTTTTGTGGTCAATCATTGTTGGAATTTTTTGTATTTTTTTGTTGTGGCCGCAGAAAGCAAAAAAAATCATTAAAATTTGCTTGAAATACAAAAATATTACCAGGAAAGGCTTTTGTAAAATTTATGAAGCCTACCTCAATTAAAATTTAAATGTGCAAAAATTAAACATAAATAATAAAAGTCAGTGTTGTAAATGTGTAATGCACTTAAATGAGCCAAAAAGGGAAAGAAGGAAATTGCAAATGCGTCTGATGATTTAAGAATAAAAAAAGTCGAACAAAATTCCTATGATTTTCTTTGTTTTAACAAATATTTCTTCTTAGAAACATTGTTTATAAACATTTCCTGTCTCCTAGCAGCACTGTTTAGCTTCAATGTTTAGCCTCAAAGTTTATAAACATTTGTTAAAGAAAGAAAATTTTAGCAAAAATTTTGACAAAAAAATTCTATAAATTTACAATATGTTGCTAGCAAAATTTTAAGATTCTTATAAGCCATACTTTTTAAGTCAATGCCCAAATACAATGTATTAATTATTTTACTTTTCTATTAATTTTAGGTATTATTAATAGTACTGGCAAATTGTGGAAAGACCAAAGACGTTTTTTGCATGAAAAACTACGTCAATTTGGCATGACTTATATGGGCAATGGCAAACATGTCATGGAAAAAAGAATTATGGTAAGTTCTGCTAACTATTTCGCCACCAAAAATAACATAAACTTAATTGCCAAAATTTCCCTATTGCAGACTGAAGTCCATGAATACATACATAATCTAAATGTTTCCGAGGGTCAGCCTATGGATATGGCACCAGCCATTTCCGTGGCCGTTAGCAATGTCATTTGCAGCATTATGATGTCGGTACGTTTCTCCATTGATGATCCCAAATTCAGACGTTTCAATTTTCTCATCGAAGAAGGCATGCGTTTGTTTGGTGAAATCCATACAGTAGATTATATACCTACTGTGCAATATTTCCCCAGCATATTGACAGCCAAAAATAAAATCGCCAAAAATCGTGAAGAAATGCAGAAATTCTATCAAGATGTCATAGATGATCACAAGAAAACATTTGATGGCTCCAATATTAGAGATTTGGTAGACTTTTATTTGGCTGAAATTGAAAAGGCCAAACAAGAGGGCAGAGATGAGGAATTGTTCGATGGCAAAAATCATGGTAAGTTTTATTTCAAAACTTTAGTTCATAAATCTGCAAAATATTTTGTTAAAATAACTTTAATTAATTGAAAATTTTATTTCTCTTTTATCTTTTTAGAGGAACAAATTGTGCAGGTGATAATTGATTTATTCTCAGCCGGCATGGAAACAATTAAGACCACTTTGTTATGGATTAATGTTTTCATGTTGCGCAATCCCGAAGCTATGAAACGCGTACAAGACGAATTAGATCAAGTTGTAGGCCGCCACAGATTACCCTCCATTGAGGACTTGCAATATTTACCTATTACCGAATCGACCATTTTGGAATCTATGCGTCGTTCCAGCATTGTTCCCTTGGCCACCACTCACTCACCCACAAGGTAAGCTGTTGCTATTTTTCATTCTTTCTAAATCATGGCAATCTGTATAAAATTGCCTTCACTTTGTTTTGATTTGTGGGAATAGTTCATTAAACTTGTTGCTGTTTTACTTTATCATCAACACAGTTGTCTTTTAAATTAATCTTAAAACAAAACAAAAAAACAACAACAAAAAAGTCATTGTTAATTAACTTTATTGTACAACAACACACTATTTCTAATGTCAGTTGTTGTGTGTAGAGAGCGTAATATTTAGAATTAGAAAAACTATTTTCAATTAACTGTGTGAGTGTTAGTATGTAGGTATGTATGTGTGTATTGATATTGCAATGGTCTTTAGCCAGTGCGTACATGGAGCGCACATGTTTCTATCTCTATGCAATTTGCTGGCATTTATAAGATGCGTCGTAATTTGTCCCAGTTTTGCTTTTAGATGGTTTCTAAGATTAAAAGCTTTATTTTTCACACACTCACAGCCCCCCTAACACCCAGATAGAAACACTGTCATTCATACCCATGCACATGTCAGGCAATGCAATTCCAAGCGAGGCAAGGCAACGTCAAGCTAAACAAGGCAATCCAGCCATAAAGCCAGGCCTTTAATGCACTTGATGTATTTTTCAATTGTTTTGTATGCAACAACACAACCAAAAAAAAAAAAAACTTAATAAAACTGAAAAAAACACACACAGAAAAATTGTATGGAAATTTTCAAATGTTTAAATGTAGAAACAACACGTGAGGTTGTAATTTTTCAATAAACATTTGCTAATTTATTGTTACTACTTTTTTCAATTTAGTATTTTTTTCTTCATTTGATTTTCAACAAGTTTATACCGGCCGGCTTTTAAATTATATACACAGTGCAAACATTTTTGTCTATAAATTATGGCTCAATTATTTTCCATCAAACAAGTCAAGTTTATTGAACTAAGTGCCATTTGACAATAAAAATAAATTTGATAAAGAAAACTTTGTGAAAATATGAGTGTCATGACAATACTACAGCTTAATATAAAAAATTAAATTATATATTAAAAAAACAAAAGCTTTTTCAACCACGGCTTACAAAGCTTTATTAAATTTTCCCACAAAACTACTCTCTCAAACTTTAACATTAAAAACTTATTTATTAATTGTCCTTTTCTTCTCTCCTTTTCGTTACAGAGATGTTGAAGTGAATGGTTATAAAATTCCAGCCGGCTCTCATGTTATACCCCTCATCAACAGCGTACACATGGACCCCAATCTTTGGGAAAAACCAGAAGAATTCAATCCTAGACGTTTCTTGGACTCAGAAGGTAAAGTACGTAAACCTGAATACTTTATACCCTTCGGTGTGGGACGCCGCATGTGTTTGGGTGATGTTTTGGCCAGAATGGAACTTTTCTTGTTCTTTGCCTCATTCATGCACTCCTTTAACATAACACTGCCCGAGGGACAACCGTTGCCCAGCCTAAAGGGTAATGTGGGTGCCACCATAACACCAGAAGCTTTTAAAGTGTGTTTAACACCCAGACCATTGCAGTTAAATACAACAACAATAGAGCCTCATCATATGCGCAATGTAGGATCAAATTAAGTAAAATATTTAACTTAAAAGTAAAGAGCAGAGATCCTTATACCAGCCGTAAGCAACATTGAGGCCATTTCCAAAGCCAACGGAATACAGGAGGATAGCTAACAACCAAACTCAAAGCTTTACTTAAAACGCCAAGCTTCATAGTAGTATTTTTACTGTCACACCTTCGGCCTTAATATATAAGTTTAAAGAAAGCTGTTGCATATGAGAGAGCATTAAAAAAAAAACAAAATATGCAGAGCACGGTTTTGTTCCTGAAAGACGTTTATTTCCAACATCAACCAAACCAACCAACAACTCTTTGTCGTCGCTTAGAAAAAAAGAGTAAAATTTTGAAAGTTAAATGCCAGAGAATTCGAAAGTTCACTTCCCAACAAATATTGGAAAGACAAGATAAAAGAATAGAGTATGTCAAACAACAAAGAAAAACATAGTCTAACTACAAAAGTTTTTCTTTTAAAAAGGCAATATCTTATAATTTGCCCATAAAATATCCAACGATGTATAATCATTATTTATAAAAGAGATTTTATAGCCAAGAAAAAACAAACAAAAAAATAGTTTAATTATTATACATTATATTTTTTTTAACTCCTCAACTAGTTCAAAATATCTATTAACAAATTTTATACAACAAAAAATAATACATATACATATAAACAAATTCTATTCTTTGACCCCCTAGAAGCTGTGTTCAATAATCAACATGTGTTTAATTTTTATTTAAACACATGTAAAAAACAAACAAACAAAAAATATATATATATTTATAAAAAAAATAATTATAATTATTTAAAATATCTGTGGTTTAGTTTTTATAACAAAATGATAAAAATGAGAATTAAAAAAAAAGAAATTGTAAAATCTTAAAATGAGAGCGAGAAGCCATAAGCGGCTTTTTGAAAGCTTTTCAAGAGCTTAATCTACTCACTCTCATTTGAATTTTAATTTTGTATTTTTGCCTTGTAAATATTTATCATGCACATTTTATTATCGTTATTAATTTTTTGTGTCTTTTTTTATACACAATTTTAGTATTTAAACTGTCATTACTTGTTCATAAATAAATATTTTCATTTTAGTTGAAAAGAAAGAAAAATCTTAAAGATTCATAGTGCCAACATTTAAGCATAATAATTGTAATTATTCTTCTATCATTTACCATTTACAAATAAGTCTAAGTTAAAAATGCACAAAAAACAAAAACCATTAAAAAACAGAACAAAAAACAATTAAAAAAAACTTCTGTAAATATGTTAATTTTTTAACAAATTATTTAATTAAGACTTTCATTTAAACATTTAGTATTTAATTTATGTTGTTTTGTTTGTTAAATAGTAATTAGTTCTTTACTCTAAGTTCGCCCTACCCCTCCCATTTCACCATAATAATGTTTGTAAAAAATAACATCAAAAAAATTTTAAGAAAAAAAAAAAACAACCAATATTTAATTAAGAAAAAAATCTAAAAAAATCTATATTTAAAAATATACAATATTTTTCATTTAAACAAACTCCCAATTTATTGTTTTTATTCCAATTTAGTTAATTTCAATTTATATTTAAAAGGCACCAAGGTAATACCACATTCTCCCTGCATGTCAATATCTTGACTGTCGTGGCTTAGAGAGAGCTTAAAGTTTCTCAAAATTAAGCCACTGTACAGGAGTAAAAGCATTTTGGCCAATTCATCACCCAAACACATACGTTTGCCCGTTTGAAATGGTAAAAAATGTTGAGGTTGATTATATTGACCCTCCTCGTTAAGAAATCTTTGAGGTCGATATTGCTCTGGTTGCGGCCATAATTTTGGATCCATATGTATGGCCCACTGTAGTGGTATTATCATACTATTCTTGGGTATGCTAAAGCCACTTATATTCACCTCTCTAACACAACCATGAGGTATACCCAAGGGCACCACCGATCTAATGCGTTGAGCCTCGGCTAAGCAAGCTTTCAGGAAATCAATATGTTCTAAATCATTTAGTGTTATATTCTCCTGGGGTAATTTCATCAAGTGCTAAATAAAAAATAATAAACATTATTAGTGCATTTGAAAGAAGAAAGAAATGTTTGTCAAATAATTATTTCTTTCTTTGGAATATCTTAATATTTATACTTTTCTCAACTCCTGTTGTATATTCTGATCCTTGGCCATGTATAAGAAAAACCACCTAAGCGTAGTCAGTGTAGTATCCACTCCAGCTCCAAAGAGATCCGCTAACAAATGTCTTAGTTGTTGCGAACAAAAGAATTCCTTGGCAATGTCTTGTTGTTTTTTATCGTTAGAATTCTTAAGTCTATCCCTTTCCTCAAGAAAATACTCCAAAATACAAGTGTTTCTTTGTTGAGTGATCTTCTCAGCTTCCTCCTCATTTGGCGTAAAAAGCTGCTGGCGCTGCGAGAGTTTTTCTTCACATTTCTGAATAATGTCATCATAGATTTGATGTGTTTTCTTTTTGCCATCGAGTAGGAAATTAATACTTCTTTTGTTAGAAGGTAAAAATCTAAGAAGTACAAAAGAAGGTAAGGATCTGAAGTCTTAGAGCATTTTAGTAGAAATCCAATTTATCAACCATTATCAATATTTCGAAAATGATGACTAATAAATAAAACTAATTTTATGTCTTTCTCACTCTGTGGTTTCATAAAGATACATATGTATGTATACATCACAAGGGAATATTTCCAGTAAAAAAAGTCTACATACACTCACCTCAGAAACGGCAAAAAATTCACAACACCTGAAACGCCAATTAGTTTTAAACCCTCTTCCTGTAGCTCTTGAAAATAATGCCAAGTGACATCATCGCGTGCATATGTGATGCCAAACACTAGGTCGTTAATAATGTTGCCCAAAGTATGTTGCAATGCGGGCAGAGGATTCACTTCACCATCTAATAAATTCGTAGAATCATCATGAAGCCACTTCATAAACGAGAAACCACAAGAAATCAGTTAAAACAGAAATAAAGAAATATTGAAAAAAAAACTCATGGAAGAAATGAAGAACAAATGATTGGACAAGTAAAATATAAATAAGAAAAAAATGTGCACATTTTATTTATTTATTTAGTTTTTTTTTTTGCACTTGAGAAATATGTATAAAAAGCAAAAGCGAAAACAAAATGGAAAGTAAAATGATCAAACATACCAGCAGCAGCCGGCAAAACAGACAAAGGCAAAACTAAAATGAACGGTTGGACTTAAAGACATTTATACAGATAAATTATGAAACCAGCAACCAGACAGACATACAGCCAGACGGGTATACTGACAACTTGACAAACAGTATGTCTGTCCGTCTGTTTAGCCAAGCAACTGTTAACAAACGAAGTTTAAGTGATGCCAGCATAGCAACAAATAATTGAATTTAGAACAAAATCAACTGGAATGAATGACTTACGACTAAATTTAAACAATTCCTGTAGCTGTAGCCTAACCGTTCAGTGGTGTATACAAGGACACATACATATAGTTGCTTCCATTCCAGACATTTTCGCAACAATAAACCTACAAAGTATTTAGGAATATTTTTTTCTCTGTTTTGTGAAATATGGTTTGCTTTTAATTTGGTGAAATGTTTTTGAAAGCCTTAGCAAACAAAAACTAAGAATCATTCATTCATGTTTATGACTCAGACGGAAGAATAGACAGTTTAAAGATGAGAAACAAACCAACAAAAGCTAATCAACTTAACAAAGGAGTGTGTTATTTTATGATACGTTCTTCATACCTGTATACATTCCCTAATGCCTTTAATAATGCGCTGTTCTAAACCGCAACGTATTTCAGAGAATTTCTTCGACATGCCCAGACATTTCAGCCAATCAATAGTGTGACGTCTTTGATCCTTCCACAAAGCACCTTCAGCACAAATTAAACCTTTTTTGCAGAAAGAAATATATAAAACGGAAATAATATAATTTGTCCGAACAGTAAGCAAGTTTCTTGCTTAAGTCTTTTGTTTTGCAACTAATATTTTTACTCTCTTTTGTGAGTTGGCTAAGAAACAACCTACCATAACCACCCATTATACCATGTGTTACATAGAGCGGTGCTCTGGCTGTAAATTCTTCGCGTCTCAGGAAATCACGCACCAATGAGGCATCTGTCAATACAATCGTATTGATTTTACCCATTTTCAATGAATATATTGAACCATATTTAAATGATAATTGCTGTAGTGTTTTGTATGGTGCCTTTACATTGAGGAATGCCAAATAGCCAAGTATAGGCAAACCAATAGGACCCGGAGGCTGATGACGCTTACGATGAAAATATTGCAATAACATGAAGGTGAAAAAGCCAATAAAACATATGACAAAAATATGCTGGAAAAAAATACACAACAAAATTCTTATGAATATAGGAAATACCAGATTTTGAGAGAAAAAAAAAACACTTCTATTATGATACATTAAGAGACAATTTGAAATATACATTTTATTTCCCATTCTTCATGATGTTAACTTAGGGAAATCTACTTTAATTACAATAACTGAATTTTCACTTAATAGTCGAGATTATTATCCCAGCAAAAACATGGTTATGACTTTTACCTACTCAACAACTTATTTTTCAATGACTACTACCGCTTTTATTACTTGTAAGTCAATACTAGAAGAAGTCTAGTATTGACTTACAAGTAATATATTATGTAAGTACTTACTTTTTAGCCTTTCTTCACTATTTGTAAGCAAGCGTGTTAACTACTTGCCTCCAATGTCATTCCCGCATTGTGTAAGCTTTTTAACCCCTAATATTTCAATGTCAGTTTTTGCTGGGATATTATGTTGGCGGAATCTTTCAACTTAAGTCAGTAAATACACGATTTAACAATTGATACAGTTTTTTAAATGTAGCTGCGAAAAGTAATTAAAGTAAAGTCCTAGTCCGGCCGACTAGGAGGTCGTGGGTTCGATACCCACCAGAGACTGTGACAAAAAAGTACACAACAGTCTTAGGAGTATTTCTGTTGATTTCAAGCTTAACAAATTCTTGTTACTGGCTTTTTAAAGTCCACCTTCGAACTTAACTCAAAAGTGATTGAATAATTCCAAGATCATACATCCCGACTTTTAACAGTGAATAAACAAATTTTAACTTACCCATAGTGACATTTCCAATTTATTTAGAAAATTCAAACATTTCTTAAAGTCCTTCATAATTTCAATTGCTAAAATTACAAAAAACATGATCGTATATTTATCGTTTTTTCTTTAATTAAATTTATATATTGTTTAAAATACTCACATTTCTTATTAGGTTCATATTTCATTAAAAACTTTGTTAAAACACTTAAAAATTCTCTGTGAATTTTTGAACTACTACGGCAGGCAACTTCAGTTTCTACACACGTCTACTCACCGACTGACTAACAGACTGATGAGACTTACAAATTCACAACGAGTGTGGACTTAATGTGTTATTCCACAATGTAGGCAGCAACAACAATAAAATACATATCAACAGGAATTTTAATAAGTACATTTATACACTTAGGGAAAACACAAAGTACTTTCCGCTGAATTTAGGTAGAGGAAAGGCAAACATACATAACCAAAAATAACGTTAAAGAAACAAAAGAAATGAAATAGATTTGAATATAATGATTTTTAAATTACACAGTGAACATTATTTTAAAGAAAAATTAAAATCATTGAACTTTTTCTTTCAGTGTCTTAAATAAATTATTGTAACAAAAGTGTTCTGCATATCGAACAATTTTGAAAAGTACTTTATACGAATAAATACACACTATAAATACATACACATACATAGGTATATAATTAAATTACAAATGTCGTTTAAATTAGTTCAATCAATTATCTAATTTAAGCAGCTAATTTCAAAACTTTACTAACAGGTCTTTAAAAGCAGTTAAATCCAAGTTTATCTATATTTTGTCCACAGAAGAAGTGTGTCAAAAAGTCGTTTTGTATTTTCCAATTATCATATGAATTACTTAAGTGTCATATAAAATGCGCATTATATTATTCTGGAGTTTTTTTTTTTTTTTTGGTAAATTATTGTCAATTCATGAATTGCAGATTAAGCTTAAAAACTTAACAAATTGTTATGAATTTATCTGTACGAAATATTTACCATTGAGTAAGAGAACCCACCAAATTGAAATGTATGTTTTCTTTTTTTGAAACGGAAATGCTGCATAAAATGGGTCAATAAGTCATAATTAAATTATAAGAAAAAAAGTTCCGGAAATTCATTGCAAATTTCTAAAATACTTAATTTCACTCGATATTTATAATTTTTAAACGGAAATACTTTAAATAAAATTGCATAAAATTCTAAATAAAGGTTTAGAGTATGAGTTTTATTATCAAAAATGTCTATCTTTACTAATACATATATAAGTATTAATATTATTAAGTTTTAATTAATATTCTGTCGTCCCAAAGAGGTATCAGCAGGGAGACTATTGTAAAACTA